ACCCCGTTGTTGCACCGCCAACTTCATGCGCGTCCCAAGGTAGGCGGTAAATGCAAAAGTTTTCCCACCGGTGAAGACAACTAAAATTAAAACCCAAACATCCAAATTATCATTTTCTCGCTGTCCTCGAACTGAGAAAACTGCGTTACCTCTCGAACGTCTGCTATATCACAAGGAACTGTAGTCAAGCTATATCACAGACCTCAACACAGAATGGTCACCCCATATATATATATATATCCTTATGACATATATATATATATATATATATCAATACGGAAAACCATGGATGCTCACACACAAAAATAATTTTTACGTTATGGTCAGATTATGAAAACAAAAAAAAAGTATTCAACAAGCTCTCAAATGCTTCGTGTAAGGTTAAGAACAGATTATGTCATCAAGCAAAGCATCCGAGAAAGGCATAAACACACGGTATCCATAGAGTCAACAAACAACAGTCTACTGGACCCCTCAACATTATGGTTACTAGAACCAGTGTGTGCGAATCTTATTACAACATCCTAGCAGCGAGGGAGCCAAAAGTCAAGACTGGTCAGGCGAGGGAGCCAAAAGTCGAGACTGGTTAGGCGAAGGAGCCAAAAGTCGAGACTGGTTAGGCGAGGGAGCCAAAAGTCGAGACTGGTTAGGCGAAGGAGCCAAAAGTCGAGACTGGTTAGGCGAGGGAGCCAAAAGTCGAGACTGGTTCGGCCGCCTCCTTCAGGCCTATTTTAACACACCACAAATGAACACATCTCGAGGGAAGAGAGAAAAAAACAACAAAAAACAAAAAACTGAGATAGCAGTCACAAGACGAGATCAAAACAAATGCCCGTGGAGTTAGATTAGGAACATTCACTCTGAGATTTTTCTTCTAAAGTACAAGGCCTACCTAAAATGCTCAATGCGCAAAAATGGGTAAAAAATCAACAATCCAAACTTGTTATTATTCAGTAATCTAATGAATCAAATGATCCTCGTCAATCTACAATATGTTTCACTATCTCACACGAAAAAATTCACAACAAAAAACACACCTCCACCACCTAAAAAAAAAAATCCCCCAAAATCAAGACTGTCCAACATGTGCAAACAGTCTCAATCTTCACACAAACATCAACTCATATTATTATATATATCTCTGGTTGCAATAATCCCTCACTCAACACAGCAACAAACAATTTTCTCTTTAAGTCACATCAATAGTAGATTCCATCTTGTAATCATCAAGCAAAATCCTTGAACAAACTGATACAAAAATGAAAAAAAAAAAATGAACAAACAACTCCCCCAATGAAACAAAACAAAAAAACCAGAAAAACATATTTATACCATTGCACTCGTTTCTGCATAACCACAATCTGGTACCTCTCCGCCAACAGGATCAAGGTCACAGGGTCATAAGTTCTTGAATCTAGCGGGAGCTTCAGAAGGCTACCCGTCAGGATTAAGTAATTTTTTTTAAAAAGAAAAAAGAAAACCAAGACACAAAAAAACCCCAAAAGAAATTCAAATACATCATGTAAAACATAATACAGGCAGAAACAGCAAAAGAAGCTCCGGGACAAGACAGACGGAGACAGAATTTTTATATTTCCAGGGGCTGAGGACATTTTAACAGCGACGTACGCGACAAATAGGTCGAGCTTTTGCTCTTGCGTGCAGAAGACACCAATTTGAATCTGTCCCCCCTCCCCCTCCACGGGGAAGTGTACTGATACTTTATCGAGTATCTCGTGTCTCTCTGCTGGGATACAAGATCCCATCCAGCTGGGGCTGATGGTTTCTCGGCAGACAGGACCAACCAAGAAGCCAGCCTCCAATAAGATCTAAATTGTGTCGATGGAGACGTACCGTAAAACATTTCACAACTAGAGGGCATTTTCTAGACTGTTGTTAGATTCCCCCCCCCCCCCCCCCCTATTGTAAAGAGAATAAATTCCACAAGTGTTTCGTGGTGGTCCTCGAGGCACAAAAATCCCACACAACTCTCTGAATAGAACAAAACAAACAGCCAGAGAATGAAACATGGTGTAAGAGGTCACTGGCCAGGGGGAAGGAGGAAGGAAGGAGGAAGGATAGGTAGGGAAGGAGGGAGGGAGGGAGAGAGAGAGAGAGAGAGAGAGAGAGAGAGACACACAAAAAAAAGGAGTGAACCCGCGACCCCTTTGGAGTAGCTCGCACAATGGGGTCGGCTTACGATTAACTTGAAGGGGCCAAAACTTTGTATACAGGTATCAGATTAAGGTCAGTACAAATAGCAATTCAAAGAGAAACAAGAAAAATAGGGTCAACCTAGGTCATTCCATATTCAAAAAGGGGGATTACTATTTTATGGGGGGGGGGGGGGGGGGGGAACCATGACGTCTCGGACATACACAAGTGGTGCCTTCTTCGCACTGGGTGAAATTTGTGCAATGTAAAAAAAATTGTAGAAATAGGGAAAGTAGTTGTAGGTACGCATTCTTCAGTCCTTGTATATATGGAGTCAAATTGGTACTGTTCCAACAATTATAAAAAGGAAGAGAAAAATGCGGATGCATTCCAGACAGTTTTTTTCCGCCTGGATTCACCCCCGATTTTTAAGAAAAAATCTGTTTTTCATTATTATAATCATACCACCACAGTGGAAAAGCTATAGCAATATTAAGTGACAGTCTTATCACTTACACAACTCTTTGCCATATCCACAGGCAGGAAGGGCTAGAACTCAAATGGCCGCTGAATCGTAAAGGTAAAGTAAGAGTATCACTTCCATCATACCATGTTTTTAATAGGAGCTAGTAAACCGTATAACTTATATCAGGTTCATATAATAGGACAAGGGTTTTCCATCTGTGTAAACTTGCTTATAGGGAGAATGAAGATTGATCATGGGTAACTGAAATACTGACTTCTTCTGTACTTGTTAAATAATCATCAACAATATCCATGTTGCATACCAAGCGTTCAACAGAAACACATCTAAAATGAAAAGCTCTCAAGTTTTTAGTCTTATTTGGACACACAAACCTGAACGAAAGAAAAAATGTTGGTCGGACCTACATACAATTAAGGTTCAAGAAAAAATGGCCCCCAAGCACAAAACAAAAACAAAACAACAACCCCCCCGACCTCCCCCCCCCCCCCCAAAAAAAAGGTGAATAGGTACAGAGCGAAGAAGCGAAAAGCGAGAGCGGGGCGGTACAATATGATGAGCCGCCTCCACAACAGACCGCGAAATCTCTTTTGTGCGGCAGGCGATCCACCACCCTTTTGCGTCGTCCCCCCCCCCCCACCCCCTCACATTATGCCTCGTGGTTTTTCTGCCTCTGCGCTTGGAACAAAAACATTCTCGTAAAACAAAAAAATAAATAAATAAACCGGCAGTACAAACTCTTGGGTTACTCCCGGGACTGATAAAACAAAATGTATCCAGATTCTGACGAGTTTTTCTGCATGTCTGATGGCACCCCATAGAATTCTTCGATTTGGCTGGCATCAATTTTCTGAGGAGGTTTAAAAAAAAATGTTGTTTTTAAAGGCAAGAATTAGATTAAAGACAACTGCAAAAAGCAAAGAACATTAATCCTATCCATACGTCGTGTTTTACTATCTTATCCATACAACGTGAGGAACTCTGTGCCCCCGGTTCTTGTATCTACAATAATGTCATTAAAGAATAAATAGGGTTAACATCTGTTTTTGATATCATCATTGGAAGAATAAGGACGTATTTATATATATCTACAGTGTCATCATTGGAAGGATAAAGACGTAATTTACATCTGTGATGTCATCATTGGAAGAATAAAGACGTATTTGTATCTTCATCATTGGAAGAATAAAGCCGTACTTACATCTATAACATCATCATCAAGGAAAAAAGCTGTACTCACATCTATAATATCATCGTCAAAGGAATAAAGTAGTACTCACACCTACAATATCATCATCAAAGAAATTAAGTACTACTCACATCTACAATATCATCGTAAAAGAGAAAAAAGCGGTACTCACATCTACAATATCATCGTCAAAAAGCAGCCAAAAGCCGTGGCTTTTCACGATGCTGATGTAGTGACCTCGATTTGGTCCAGACCCACAATGCACCACCACAGCCACTAGATCGTAGAGACGCTCGGGGTTGAAGGCATCGTCAGACTGAGAACAGCGAGTCACAGAAAAAAACTGTCTAGTGCATTTTTACGATACAACAGCAACTCGATACCCTAGAATTACATAGTTCTATCTGCCCAGTACCTAGTTTTGAGAAATTTGACGTAAAAAATTGCTGAGTTTCACAACAGGTCGAGCTTAGTCGAAAGCAATTTTTAAAAATATATCTTGATGACGACTCCGAATAATCTTATGAATTTGATTGAGCAGATAGAAAATTAGCGCTGTATTCTTCATGGGTCTCAACTCAGAATTTTCAAAAAGGAGGAACTTTCTGTGGGATCGCGTCAGAAGACCATTTTCACGAGACACCCATTATTATTATACTGTTTAACCCTGGAACACTGAAAAAACCCATCAATTTACCAAAGCAAGGTTATTTAATAATATCAATTTGAGGGTCTGGAAGATAATTTCAAGGAAGAGTCACTTACCAAATATTTACAATTTTGATTATGTACAGAAAAGTTGTGGTTTAGCGGAGGAAATGGTGGTAACGGAAATCCGCTAAATTGAGACGAGACCCATGATTCTTCCTGGGACGTGTTCTTAGGTCTGCTGGGGTAGTCAATGATAGTAAATAACAAGATGGGCCACTCAGCCAAAAAAGTGTCCGCAGGAAGTATGCTCTTTGCTTCAGATGGTGCTGCAGTCTGTTTTGAAGCTCTCTTTCGTTTTTCCA